TCTCCCACAGTACACACAACATGGAAATGCAATTATTTTAGTAAATAGAAACTGCTAAATAACTCTTCTCATCAGCAGTTAGAGCAGTCTTGTGACTTTAGCAGAGCACTGGTTAAAGCTTTTAAAGGGAGTTTTCTTTCTGCTCTAGGAGGATGTGAAACCCTTGACCCTCTGTCTGGACAGTGCTAATTGGCAATGTGCTGATCACATGCACTCTCCCAAGAAGAAGAAAAAAAAAACCTCTCTAGCAATACACACCAAACTGAGCATGTGCATGTGACTACAGATTCAGTCTGTATCAGGTGGTCATTTCAACAGCAGGAGGGGCAAAGAAAAAAGGATCAAACAGCCATTTTTACACAATGCAGAGGATTAACCCCTTAGGCTCCACAGTGAGTATAAACAAGCATGCTTTACTGCATATACAGACTGATTTTACTGTTGTGGGTCTAGTAACACTTTAAGGCAAGAAAAAACCTCATATATTATCATCTTTGTTACGTGAAACAATTTTCAGCATACTACCAATAAAAATATAATAGGCTAATATTTGAACTGTTGCCATTTTTCTTTAAGGATTTAGAGAAACTGCATTAATTAAGGAAATTGTGTTTTTTTTTCTTAAAGGGTAACTCCAGTTTCGTGAAGAAGAAGAAGAAAGAAGACATATACATCTGCTACACAAGCCACACTGTAATTTAATATAAAAAAATTACAGTTACTTATCAATCTGCAGCTGCTGTCTTTTTCTGTAAAATGTCATGCAATATAGAAACCTGGAGGTGTTCTGTACATGGTTGTTGTACAGAACACCCACAGAAATGTCATTTCCTGCTTGTGTGATTGGCTTACTGATTTTCTCAGAAGTCTGCAAGTCCTGTATTAGGAATTTCAGTTTTGGCAATATATTCCCAAAGGGTTTAAACACTTTTAAAGGGGCGCAGACCGTCATCAGAACACAGACAACACCAGGTGATTGTAATGAACCAAACCCTCACATTCAGAGTCGGTCTGCAATCAATCTAGTGAAACAAGCAGCTGATTCTTCAGAGAAACAAAAAGGCAGGAATCTGCAACAAAGTATGTTATAATCCTTGCAATATACATAGATCATCCAGAGAGGGTTGGTTTTTTTTTCTCTTGACAAAAGAGGAGTTACAATTAAGTTAGATATTTATTATAAAAAAAAAACACCCAATCCCTGCTCTTGAGACACCCATCCACAATATGTTACAACCCTCCCAGGCTACTGATCTTTTAATAGGTAGGACTTGGGAAGTAGCAAAGAAAACCGTTCGGGGTATCCTCCTTTACAAAATACACCCCCATTTGGAGTGTAAGTTTCAGAAATTTCGGAGATGGGAGAAGGCTGGAGTGCACACCCGGTCACAAATTTACAATAATGAATCTGTAAAGTACTATACTCAACTGTCCGCTAAATATGCATCTAACCTCAAATGATTTTACTAGTTCTTTCAACTGTTGCGTGCTATGCAGGCACAACCTAACTCAGCTTCTGTCTCTTCCTCCCCAGCCCATAATTGATGACACTGTACAGATATTCTCGACTACAGGAGTGATTTCTGTCACATACTTGACGCGACTAGGCAGCTTTTTGCCAAGGGTCCCATTAGTATGTAGATCAGGTGGGAGAAAAAAACATAGGCAGAACCGAAATCTGGGATTATATTTTAAAATCCCAGCAGCAGGCTTCTCTCTTTCCTTTTCACAGGTTGACCCAGGTGCTCATCTTGCACAGGGTATTTAGAACCCCCAAATTTCTATATACCATCAGTGTGAAAGACAACCCCTGCTGTGATAATTGCAGTCACTCACCTGGATCCCCTATCCATCTGACAAAGAATGGCACAAACATATACTCCTGCGCTGGAGGATGGACTCCACAGAGGTATGAGACCACAAGTGGGATGCCAGGAAACTGTAGGCCTTGCTGCCCTCAATGGACCAGAGGGATCCAAAATACTGCATATAAAGAAACAAAGAGGACACACGGGCTGAGTGCATTGACTTTTTAAAAGATCATTTATTCAATAAATAAGTGGTAATATACTCACAAAGGAACAAAATGTCAAAGGCACATCATTGATAGATTGGCTCTGATGAAGACGCAAGCGCTCAAAACACGTCAGCCATTTGGAGGTCTAGGAGTCCCATTACGGATATCATCCAGTGTGACTTGACCTTGTTGTACTTTATATGATGTGCCCTTGACATTTGTTCTTTTGTGAGTATATTATCACTTATTAAATAAATTATCTTTTAAAAAGTTAAAGCACTAGGCCCGTGCGCCCTCTGTTTGTTTCTTTGTATCCCCCACCCATCACCTGTGGCAATGTCTCAAGTTGAAGCAATATTGGGCTGAGGTTGTAGATACCTTAAATGGGTTACTGGTGACTAACCTTTCAGTTGAGCCCCTCATATGTTTGGGCTATGCTGATTCTTCTTCTAAGGATCAGAATATTTCTAGAGCTTTATTTAGAGCTTGTAGGTTGAACACACTTAAAATGGACCTCACCTGGCCCACCAACTTTCTCTGACTGGATAACGGCTCTCAATAAATACATCTCCTACAAAAAGCATAATTATTTTGAGAAACTTAAGCAAATTTAATGCCTTATGATCTCTTAGATTGTAAGCTCCAAGGAGCAGGGCCCTCCTAACCCTCTTGTATTGAATTGTATGGTCTCCCGTTATATTGTAAAGCGCTGAGCAAACTGTTGGCGCTATCTAAATCCTGTATAATAATAATAATAATTATGATCTCAATGGATAGAATATAAGTATCCTCCCTTCTCTTAGATTCCATGAATCTGCTGACCGGAGTGCTTGTTTTTTGCATCTGTACAGCTGACCATATTATAGCTATTGCTTTGTTCCAATGCCTAATACAGATGATGAGAAAACTGGATGAAAGATCATCCGCTTTCTTTTTTTTTTGCTTGCTAGTCTCATATCAAAAACGAATAGGTTACTAAAGATACGAAAATTCTTGTATGACAGAATACAACTTCTCATTCTAGCATGTAATCAGAAGTGATGTAATGTATGTGTGACCCCTCTTCTAGCCACTTGTCACTCAGGCAGTCCAGGATCAGGAAAGATTCTGACTGTAAAGTCGGGATCCACCTAGATGCCTGAACTGGCAGCTGGCTCGGCCTCTCTGTGAGACGCAGAGAGCCTGAGTCAGCTGCTCCCACCCCTTCCAAGCCCAGCACTCCAGTGAGCACTAGAGGGGCAGAGCAGAGAACAGTGGCTGACAGTCTCAAGCTCTCTACTCACTGAAGAATGAAAACTGAGCGATCAGCAGTCTTTGATCGCTCATTTATCGGTCTTAGAAGTGACGAGGGACAGATACAGCAACGGATCAATGCTGTGTCCACCTAGGTGACTATAACTGTTTAATTTTTTTTTTAAACCTATACTTCTCTTTAAAAATCATCTTTAATAATCCTAGCCTATGTTTCAGGTTAAGCTGGTGCCATGACCACTGCCCCAGGTTTCTTGTTTCAGGGCGATTCCTTTCTCTTGCAGTGTACTACCCCCGGTATGCAGGTACTTGATCTGTGTCTCCCTACACTGTCCGCTGACTGTGGTGCCCTTGAAGTCTGTCATCTTAGACATGCATGAAAGTGAAGACTGATCTGGGCATTGGCTGAGTACTCAGCCTATGTCTGTAGCGAAGTAGTGAAGCCATAGGATATAGCAACTCATAAAAAAGTCACTAATGGAAAATACCAAATTTGTATCATGGTAGGGTTACTACAGAGCATAACCTGCAGTTTTAGTTCAAGTTCTTTAGTTGTCAAATGTGTTTAGTTGTCATTGTCCTTGAAGCCTGCACAAAAGAAAAAGTTAGCCCAACGTTAAATTGCTCTCCTGACTTCCAAGAGCTCCCTCCAGCGGTGGTCAGGAATAAACGTTCTCAGCAGCATACGATGTGAGCAACAGTGTGGTGGAATAACAACACAGATTACTTTAAGTAAAGCACAAAGTCCCATTCATTTTTATCCCCATACAACATGCAGGGACAGCTTAAGGATCTGCAATGAAAGAGCAGTTATCCTTCAAATGTCAATGCCTTTAACATGCATTCACTCTCAAGGCACCTTAAGCCCATAGCATAGACTAGAGCATGTATGAAGATACACAAGCATTATGTACAACACAAGCAAAGCTATGTCACGTACAGATTTCATCAAGAGCCAGAGAATAATGTACTCATAAATCACCTCTCCTGCTGGAGGGAGATTGGGGGGGGGGGGGGGGGGGGGGTGGGGAGGCGGGGAGAAATCTAATCAGAAGCAGCAGCATTTGTAATCAGTTTCCGCTGGGAACATGCTGTGAAAGGGTGGTGTTTTGCTTGGGTAACAAAAGCTCTCCCTCAACTAAACAAACCAACTGAATGCCCAACATCTTCATTTTATTTAGCTTGATAACATTGCACACAGAGCAGCACCTTCTCTGTACCGACCTTTATACAGACAGCAGCGAGGATCTTTAGAAATCATTTCTGACACACATCATGAATTCCAACAGATACTTCTTCATATTAAGCAACAAGTATACCCGTATTGCACGGTATGAAAGTCACTTAATATGCCAGGGTTCCCTTTTTGTAAACTGAGGCAATTTTAGAAGTCTGACATAAGCCAGTGATATAAGAACAGGCAACGGACTGGCAGTGCTTCCACAAGCAAGATTAACATAGTGAAGTAGAAGGCACAGAAAGATTGATTATGAAAGAGTTAACCATCTGTGATTTCTGGCAGCAGATTATATTACAGACTTGTACGGTCATCACAACAGAAGGATTATCAAATCAACGTCCAGCAAGAATGGGGCCGGCCCCATAGCTCTAATTGCCCTTAAAAGCACATGAGGGACAGGCTTCAGTGTTGACAGTCATCAACCAAAGGCCAACTACTGTGCCCTGCACAAAGTAGCATTGTCTGGTCCACGATAAGCACAGTATCTGAAATTTAGTGGCTAACATCAGTCAGAATTATGTTGGCTGTTACATAAATAAAACAGGTTAGTGCCCAAAGGAGAACAAACCACACCCATCCCACTTGTTTAAAAGGTGATCTATGCTTATTAGCGAGTCCAGGTCCATATACTAGGGCAGAGTCTTTACGGCTGTAGGCCACAAGAAAAGCTGGGATAACATACTGGATGCCATTTCCAGCATAAGCACCTGTAATGCTCACTAGTAGTTCAAGGTGGTTGGTACAGAATGCCACAATGATAGGAGGGACTAGTGTTATTAATGGGAAGACAATACGATCTACAAGCCATGGGTAGGTCCCTCCTTCACGGTGAAAAGAGAGTCTTCCAGTTATTACGCAATGTGACTGCAATGATGGGAAAATTGGTGCTGATGGTGAACACTGGGAACAGTCCTAGAAAGTAGCCAATCACTGGAGGCACAAAAGGCCTGCACCCACTGAAGTTAAGAGTGTACATATCCATGAGCGCTCCAGAGGAGAAGCAATATATAGCTGTAAAGCCAAGCAGGCTATAGAATGAAAGAACCAATACGTAGTCCAACAAGACGAGTCCAGTTATGTGCTTCTTACTAGACACTGGTGTGATCAACGAAGGGAGAGAATGTTGGCACATGAATGAATAGACGCAGACTCCAAACAGGTTCTGGATCCCAGACAGCTTTGCAACAGGAGGATGACCTTCACCTTCACCTTTGCCAATACGGATCAAAGCTATTACAATCATGATGATGAAAGCTGCAGTAAAAAGGAAAACAAATTATGCATTTAGGCTGTGTTTCCATAAAAACAGATAATGTTACTCTCTGTCTCCCTTCTAGGTCATCCGGTGCCCTTGCAGTTACTCTCCATACCAGTTCTATCTTCCCTGCACATCTGGCTAGTCAAGAGTTAAACTGTTGTCTCTACTCTGATTTATGACAGGGACTCAGATGAGAACAAAGTGGCAGTAAAGCTGTGAAAACTCATTACTCGCTCTATAAATCATTTGGAGAAGGAGGCCCCTGACACTTCCACCTCTCTTTCCCACAGTGCTGCAAGGACAGAGCCCCACCACTGCCAGCATGAGCAATATAGGGTTACAACTGTACATGATCTGCATTCGGCATGGTCTCCCTGTGAGGGCACATGCATTGTGGAAAAGGGGTGAAAGGATTTCTAATGACATACTGAAGTGATTTGCTTTCTGAATTTGCTTGAGGATTTTAATCTCTTTTTGCCTGTGGGTAGCAAAAGTTAATAAATTGCAAGAAAATTAGTTTCTATAGCATATAAGATAAAAAGTGAGACCATCTACAACTTTTTTCCACTTCATATGATAGGGGACAGACAAAGTAAATTATCGCAATTGAATTTTCAATAATTTTCTCCATTTTAATATAACATTTTATGATCTAACATAGATTTAGAATAAAATAGGAAAGTCAATGTAAGTTAAAAGCTGAACTTCAGCCACAAAAACTTCTTTTTAAATATATATTCCTCAACAGCAACAAATGTGCCACTTTGGGTCTTGGCAAACTCAGATGTAAACTTTTAAAATAGTGGTGACATCACTGTACTTTGCCTGTGCAGCCAGCAGGGCTGTGCTTGGGACCTAGCAGGTCCATACATTACAGGATGCCTGCAGAAAAAATTGGGTGGATACCTGTACAAAAAGAGAACAGTAGTGACCGGTCTGCACTACAGGGAGTCCCTGCACAGAGGCAAAGGGCAGGACTTGTTTCATGCTGGGATTACTGCACACATATAGATGAAATCCACACATATAGATGAAATCCACAAAGGACATCACAGCTTACAATTTTACCAACTTGCCCTCCGCCCTATAGCAGAAATACTGCTACAGGGCGGCTGGGCTGTGCAAAATCATGTATAAATGACACATTATTTGCACTTCCGGGTAGGGGGGACGCGCGCACCGCCCTACCCGCTATTGAAAGCTAGAGATGTCAAACACGGGTCCTGGCCAGCAATCCCTGGCCAGCACTTGGCGATCGTCGGGAAAAGCTGACATGGGCGAGACCTGTGTGTAAACAACACAGGTCTCTCCCGTCAGCATGGACATGCTGTTTTGTATCTCTCTGCACAGCAGAGATACAAAACAGCAGGTTTCCCTAGTAAAACACAAGACAGTGCACAAAGTAAAAAACACACAGCACAGTTAGCCCTTTTATTGCCCCAGATGTTAACCTCTTCCTGCCCAGTGTCATTAGTACAGTGTCAGTGCTTTTTTATTAGCACTGATCTCTGTATTGGTGTCACTGGGGATGTCAGCGGCAGTTAGCCAGTTCCCCCCAGTGTCAGAATGTCCGCCGCAGTCCCGCTATAAGTCGCTGATCGCCGCCATTACTAGTATAAAAAAAAATATATAGAATATATATAAAAAATATATACCGCCATTTGTAGACGCTATAACTTTCACATAAACCAATTAATTTACACGTATTGGGATTTTTTTTTTTTTAGCAAAAGGCATGTAGCAGAATACATTTTGGCCTAAATTTATGAAGAAATTAGATTTTTTTTTATTGGGGATGTTTTATAGCATATTCAGGTGAAACTCGAAAAATTAGAATATCGTGCAAAAGTTCATTTATTTCAGTAATGCAACTTAAAAGGTGAAACTAATATATGAGATAGACTCATTACATGCAAAGCAAGATAGTTCAAGCCGTGATTTGTCATAATTGTGATGATTATGGCTTACAGCTCATGAAAACCCCAAATCCACAATCTCAGAAAATTAGAATTTTGCATGCAATCAATAAAACAAGGATTGGACATAGAACAATATCGGACATCTAAAAAGTATAAGCATGCATATGTACTTAGTACTTGGTTTGGGCCCCTTTTGCAGCAATTACTGCCTCAATGCGGCGTGGCATGGAAGCTATCAGCCTGTGGCACTGCTGAGGTGTTATGGAAGACCAGGATGCTTCAATAGCGGCCTTCAGCTCTTCTGCATTGTTCGGTCTCATGTCTCTCATCTTTCTCTTGGCAATGCCCCATAGATTATCTATGGGGTTCAGGTCAGGCGAGTTTGCTGGCCAATCAAGCACAGTAATCCCACGGTCATTGAACCAGGTTTTGGTGCTTTTGGCAGTGTGGGCAGGTGCCAAGTCCTGCTGGAAAATGAAGTCTGCATCCCCATAAAGCTCGTCTGCGGAAGGAAGCATGAAGTGCTCCAAAATCTCCAGGTAGACGGCTCCATTGACCCTGGAATTAATGAAGCACAGTGGACCAACACCAGCAGATGACATGGCTACCCAAATCAACACAGACTGTGGAAATTTCACACTGGACTTCAAGCATCTTGCAGTGTGTGCCTCTCCATTCTTCCTCCATACTCTGGGTCCTTGGTTTCCAAATGAGATGCAAACGTTGCTCTCATCAGAAAAGAGGACTTTGGACCACTGAGCAACAGACCAGGTCGGTTTTTGTTTGTTGTTCAGGAGCGGCATGACAAGAGGAATACAACATTTGAAGCCCATGTCCAGGATTCATCTGTGTGTGGTGGCTCTTGATGCACTGACTCCAGCCTCAGTGAAAGGAGTGAAAGTCCCCAACACTTTTGAATGGCCTTTTCCTGACAATCCTCTCCAGGCTGCGGTCATCCCTGCTGCTTGTGCACTTTTTCTTCCACACTTTTCCCTTCCACATGACTTTCTATTAATGTGCTTTGATACAGCACTTTGGGAACATCCAACTTCTTTGGCAATTACCTTGTGAGGCTTTCCCTCCTTATGGAGGGTGTCAATGATGGTTTTCTGCACAACTGTCAGGTCAGCAGTCTTTCCCATGATTGTGATTCCTACTGAACCAGACTGAGAGGCCATTTAAAGGCTCAGGAACCCTTTGCAGTTGTTGTGGCTTAATTAGCTGATTAGAGTGGGACACTTTGAGCCTAGAATATTGAACCTTTTCACAATATTCTAATTTTATGAGATTGTGGATTTGGGGTTTTCATGAGCTGTAAGCCATAATCATCACAATTATGACAAATCACGGCTTGAACTATCTTGCTTTGCATGTAATGAGTCTATCTCATATATTAGTTTCACCTTTTAAGTTGCATTACTGAAATAAATGAACTTTTGCACAATATTCTAATTTTTCGAGTTTCACCTGTAGTCAAAATTAATTATTTGTTTTCCAAACTTGTCAGTTTTTTTGTTTGTAGCGCAAAAAATAAAAAAGAGCACAGGTGATGAAATATCACCAAAAGAAAGCTCTATTTGTGGGGGAAAAAAATGGACATAAATTTCATTTATGCACAGCGTACAATGCATGACTGTGCAATTGTCATGTAAAGTAACGCAGCGCCGTATCACAAAAAATGGCACGGTTATGAAGGGGGTAAATCTTCCGGAGGGCAAGTGGTTAAGCTTGGCTACTGGAGCTCCAGCATTACAGCTTACACTGTTCCCTGGCCCAACTTTTTCTTCTCAGTGCCCAGGACCTCTGCTGATGATCACATGGTCAATACAAGTAGCACCTAATCACATCCAGGCTCTAAGTTGTCCAGGCTGAGCCAGGGAGCAATCCTTGATACTGTGTTATATACAATGGGTGTGGGGCAGGGGCAAACTGCTTCAGGTATAAAGTACAAACTACTAGAGCCGCACAGTACAGTACCTGAAACAGCCTTCAAAAACTTTTGATGAAAATGCCAGGCAAAGATCCAGTATTTCTTGATCATGCTAGAGCATTCAGCTAAGCCCTGTCCCCATAAATCCCAATGCACTAATCACTATATCGGGCAGCCACATTGGTAGTAGCTTCCAAAACTGCCATCAAGCCTGAATCCCAGGCCAATCTGACTGATAAAGCTTCGACTTTTCCCTATAGTGTTAAAGTTTGCCCACCTCACTTCCCATCTCATGCACATTCCTATTTTCTAGGTGACTGCCCATCATAGTGATGGGTCAACAGGGTTAGTGAAAAGTTCCAACATTTCCGGGACGTGTTGGAACTATGCACGTTACTCATGACAGAAAGGTTTGGGAAGATTGTACAGGTGACAGAATCCATCAGTCAGATCAATCTCAGTATCACACATCTACTTTTATAAGAATTAATACACCACAGTGACATAAAAAGGGAATAATGGGTTTTTTGGTTTACTTGTAAAATCTTTTTCCTGGAGTACAGTGGGGATCGAAAGTTTGGGCACCCCAGCTAAAAATTTGTATTAATGTGCATAAAGAAGCCAAGGAAAGATGGAAAAATCTCCAAAAGGCATCAAATTACAGATTAGACATTCTTATAATATGTCAACAAAAGTTAGATTTTATTTCCATCATTTACACTTTCAAAATAACAGAAAACAAAAAAATGGCATCTGCAAAAGTTTGGGCACCCTGCAGAGTTAATATCTTGTACTGCCCCTTTTGGCAAGTATCACAGCTTGTAAACGCTTTTTGTAGCCAGCCAAGAGTCTTTCAATTCTTGTTTGAGGTATCTTTGCCCATTCTTCCTTACAAAAGTCTTCCAGTTCTTTGAGATTTCTGGGCTGTCTGTCACGCACTGCTCTTTTAAGGTCTATCCATAGATTTTCAATTATGTTGAGATCAGGAGATTGTGAAGGCCATGGCAAAACCTTCAGTTTACGCCTCTTTCGAATCCCCCCCCGTGGATGTGTTTTAGGATCATTATCCATTTGTAGAAGCCATCCTCTCTTGAACTTCAGCTTTTTCACAGATGGCATCAAGTTACCATCCAAAATTTGCTGAAATTTTATTGAATCCATTTTTCCTTCTACTCATGAGATGTTCCCTGTGCCACTGGCTGCAACACAACCCCAAAGCATGATTGATCCAACCCCATGCTTAACAGTTGGACAGAGGTTCTTTTCGTTAAATTCTGTGCCCCTTCTTCTCCAAACGTACCTTTGCTCATTCCGGCCAAAAAGTTCAATTTTAACCTCATCGGACCACAGAACTTGTTTCCAAAATGCATCAGGCTTGTCTATATGTTCATTTGCAAAGTTCAAACGATGATTTTTGTGGTGAGGACGTAGAAGAGGTTTTCTTCTGATGACTCTTCCATGAACACCATATTTGTACAAGTATCTCTTTATAGTGGAATAGTGTACCACAACTCCAGTGTCTGCCAGATCTTTCTGGAGGGATCGTGCAGTCAAACGTGGGTTTTGAATTGTTTTTCTCACAATCCTGCGAGCTGTTCTGTTTGATATTTTTCTTGGTCTTCCAGATCTTGCTTTAACTTCCACTGTTCCTGATGACTGCCATTTCTTAATTACATTCCGAACAGAGGATATTGACATCTGAAAACGCTTTGCTATCTTCTTATAGCCTTCTCCAGCTTTGTAAGCGTCAACTATTTTCAGTTTCAGTTTTCTAGACAACTGCTTAGAAGAACCCATGGTGCTGATTGTTGGGGCAAGGTCAGATGAGTCTGGGCATTTTAAAACCTTTGAGATTGACATCACCTGGTCTTCCCAGACGATGATTGAGAACAATCCATGACACTGGCAGGTCTCAGCTTGGCAAAGGGGGCAGTGCATGCTATAAATTCTGCAGGGTGCCCAAACTTTTGCAGACGCCATTTTTTGTTTTCTGTTATTTTGAAAGTGTAAATGATAGAAATAAAATCTAACTTTTGTTGACATATTATAAGAATGTCTAATCTGTAATTTGATGCCTTTTGGAGATTTTTCCATCTTTCCTTGGCTTCTTTATGCACATTAATACAAATTTTTAGCTGGGGCGCCCAAACTTTTGATCCCCACTGTACATCCTAGGACACAAAGCACCTTTATATTCATTACGATAGGGTAATGCTGCCACCTTCAGGTGACTGGACACCGGCAAAAAAAAAAACAGACGACCTTCCAACCCAGGCAAAACCCCTCCCTGCTAAGCATAGCTTCAATTTGTGGCAAGCCAAGCAATAATTACAGAAGAGGGGTAGGATTCCTGTGTCCTGTGATGTACTTAAGAAAAGAATTTTACAGGTAAACTAAAAATCCAAAATTTTCTTTATTGTACATCCCAGGACGCCAGACATCTTTCATATTCATTTGGATAGGAATGTTCCAAAGCACTGAAAATAGAGGGGAAAGCAACACGGCAACAAGCTAACAGGTCCCAATCAACTAAACCAGAACAGGTTAGAAACTCATCCAGCAGCCTGCACGTCAAACAAACTTTGCATTCTTAGAGGCTTGAACATTGATTGTTCGCTTTGTAAAACTTTGTAAAATTTGAACTGAAGACCAAGTAGCAGTCCTAAAAAACTTGAGCTACTGAAGCCCAATGTCAAATAGCTCAGGAAGCACCAACACTGGTAGAATGAGCCATGACAGAATGGTGCTACTTCACCGTTTAGACCATAAGCCTAACAAATAAGTTGATCCATCGAGAAATGGTAGATATGGAAGCCGCATGCCTTCCTTTCTTGGGCATTCAGGAAGCACCCACCTCCTGCAAAGTTCTTCAAATACCTGTGGGAGAAGAGCCCACCCCCCCCCCCCCAGAGTTAGTCATCGACAGCTGAGAAAATACGGCTGTCAATTTCCTGCTTCGGGAATATGGATGGCGGACAGAACAGGGAATGTGAAGTTCTGCCCAAGACTGGATAAGATCTGCTTTCTTCTAAGCCTAACTTTCTGGTACCTCCCTAATGATTTATGTACGCCACTGCCGTAGTGTTGTCCTACTGAACCCTTACAAGAAGGCCCTCCAGCTACACCAACTAATGCAGCAGGGCAAAATGAAATCGCCCTCTATTTTTAGGTTTCTGATGGACAAGACATGTCTCCTGAGATGACCAAGTCCTCTGAACTAATAGATTGTCCAGAACTCTGCCCAAGCCCATCAGGCTGGCATCCTTTGTTAGAACCCCGATAAGAAGTAGGAGTGATATTCCCAAATCCAGCATTCATGAAGAAATCCATCAGAATCTCGTTCTGGTATGTAACTACATCAAGGAGTCCAACGACTCAGATGGAGGGGCCTTACATGAAACTGGGCAAATGGAACTGCCTTAAAAAGGAGGTCATCATCTTTTCCAGAAAGCCGAATCACGGGATACATCAGTCTGAAGCAGCATCACCTGAGTTTCCAGAGCAAGACATTGTCCTGAGGTAGGATCACTTTCAACTGGACCATGTCCAGCACCAGGCCTGAATGTTCTAACCTTTAATCTAGGACTAAGACAGTCTTCTGAAAGTTCAGGATATCTCCAAACCTACTTACAGTCTGGACCGTACGAGTCATATTGACTTCCAGAAGTGGAGCCGAGCTGTCCAGGTCACCTATGACAGGAATACCCTAAGTAATTAGAAGCCCCAAGTCCAGGGCTAGCACCTTGAAAAAATATTCTTGGAGCAGTGGACAGGCTGAACAGGCCAAAGTGAACAGAAAGAATCATTTGAAAAACTGGAGGGGGAAGGCTTCAGAATTCCAGATTGTAACCTCAAGCCACTAAATTGTGAACCTATAGCTGCTAGCAGTAATCATTGTATTCTGCCAACTGGGAAGGCTCCCTGTGGCACACCCCCCCAAAGTACAATAGAACTGTGGGGTCGAGGGATTCCCCCATCAATACTGACTGTGTTGATGGGGAAATCTAGCGATTTTGCCCCGTGGCGGAAGGAAAGAAAATCGATTCATCTATGGCTTGCCTTAGTAAACTCACTTTCCATGGGGTATTGTTATGCATATCATTTTGACTGCACAAACACCTTCTCAGGGCGAGTCCTGTCCATATAGAATACATCCTTTAAAGGGAGATGTACAGCAAATAATTGGGGATGTTGTGGCAGGTCCCCTAGAGATAGTGGAAAAGCAGAACAAACAAAAGGGAGTCAGAACCAACAAGAACTAACAGACCCCCAGTTGAGATACTCCAAGGAAAGCTACGGCCAAGTTCCTCTCTGCCAGGTAAAGGTACCTGGAAACACTCCCCGTGATTCTTACACCCTCTCTACAGACTGAGACATGGCCTTCCAGCAATACTATATAGGAATGGACTTTTACTTTAAGAAGCAGTCCAGAGCCAGCTGAGAGAACCTCATGTAAAAACACGGATTATACCCCTCAATTTTGTGGGTAGGCTGTACCACGGGCAAGCACCCCGCTTTATAGCACTAGTGGATAAGCAGCAATGCAGAGTTTTTAGCCAACCAGCTTGTATACGTGCTGTGCTCTGCGGTATGCAGGGATTACTGCGAGCTCTGGACAGAGTACACAAGAGCCTCCCCAAGATGGCAGTTAACACTTGGCTCTGCCTTGCCAATGGCAGTGCGCCTCGCACACACCTCACAAAAGGTGGAAGAGATGCACTAGAACATCCCATAACTGTATTTTGGTGCCAGAAACATCCTGGTACTCCCCCAAACATCACTACAGCCTTAAAGCACTCTAAGCGGCCAGGGCTGAGTACACGAATATAAACACAGCAAGAACCGGAAGATAAGCATAAAAAACAGCTAATGGGCCAGCTAGGAGATTAAAAGCGATTAATGTCTACCTCCTCCCTTCACTGGGGTAAAGCCATCTGAGGGAGCCACTATCAGCACTCACCAGTCCAGGCCGCCAGACCCCCCTAGGGGGGTCCAAACGTCACCTCTCTCAGTGGAGATGTCCTTAGGGCCTTAACTCCCTGGTGCTAGGATCACTACTCTGGATCTGTAAAGCCCCCTACTGGTCCACCAGACAATAGAGAATTGTACAGGGTCCTGTAACGCAGGGTCCTGTGTTACAGGCTGTCCCCCTACGTGTCCAAAGTGGGGTCCGAGTACTATTCATCTGGGCAAGTATTGCTAACGGATCTGGATTAGCTGGTCTCCAGTTACCAGATGCGACACTTGAGAAATTTAGCTAGAAAACACATGTATCTAGTGCAAAGACTGACCATCACCTAAAACACTAGCAAAAACTGAAGTTATGTCTAACAGGGAGGGGATACCATCCAGTGGCAAGTTACTGCCTGTGAAGGATCCTGGGGTGATCCTGAAAGCGCGCTGGCCCAGTGGGTCGTAGTAAGGAGGTGAGGGGGCAATTTAGCCATTTGAGGATTTCACCGTTGATGTGAACGTACAATCACCTCATCACCTGCATGAATCTTTTTCATTGGATCACGTTTTATATAGAAAAAATATTGTGGACTTTTTTATGAACATTTGATATATATTTCACTTTATTTATATATTGGAACACATGTATTTTATTTACTTATGGCCTTTGATTGTTTTATATATTTATTTTTGAATATTTAAGCACCTGTCACTTTGATTAAGTTGATTATCCCCCAATTTTAGGGATTCACAGTTGTTTGCACTAGTCTGTGTTTTGTATTTATTGATCCCAATTAGGGATTTTGGGGGGGGGGGGGGGGTTGTTGTTGATGATATTTGATTTTTCACCACACGGGGTCCAATTTTAGGACCATTTTGAGATTTCACGTTGTTCATATCACGTGTTTATGTGGCACAAATTAGATCCCGATTGGATCAGGTCACTTTAGATTTGTTTATATATAAATTTTTTTTATATTTATGGTATGTATTTTTTCATTTATTTATTAGCACTACACGATTATAATATTAAGAGGCACAAGTACATTTCTTCCACACAGAATAATGTGATTGCATATTTCACACTTACCAAGCCATCTCATTAGCGAAGTTAAGATCTGCAGGTACTTTGTTTTCTGCACATTAAAAAATGTAAATGGCCCAAGAAGCAGAGTGAATACAGCCTGCAAAACAAAGAACAATGAACTGTAACACACAAGTTTTGTCTAAAACCTAACTATGGCACAAGAAACTTTTGGAGTTTTGGATGGAGTGGAGAAAATCTTCTGCAGTACAAATAGGCAAGCAAAAGGCTTTGTGTATTTCCCAGCTTAGCTTTAAATTCTAACTAGAGTGTATCCCTTAAAAAGTGATATTAATGGTTCATTTTTTAAAAAAATTCAAATAACAAACATGTCATACATACCTGCTCTGTGCAATGGAATTGCAAAGAGCAGCCTTGATCCTTCACTATTCAGGTCCCCAGCCAGCGCTCCTGGCTCCTCCCACCACCGAGTACCCCTATAGCAGTGTTTCTCAACTCCAGTCCTCATGGACCCCCAACAGGTCATGTTTTCAGGATTTCCCTCAAATGAAACAGCTGTGGTAATTACTAAGGCAGTGAAACTGATCAAATCACCTGTGCAAAATAATGGAAATCCTGAAAACATGACCTGTTGGGGATCCATGAGGACTGGAGTTGAGAAACACTGCCCTATAGGAAGCCACTTCCTAAAGCAGGCACAAGTGCGGGCTCGCTCCCAAGCCGGACTGTTTACGTCTAATCAGAAACACAGATCGGGTCATCCCCGCTCTCTGCTAACAGGTTTTGACTAACAGCACCAGGAACAGATGGTCCCCACTGCTCTCAGCCAAGCCTATGAGAGCTGGGAGAGGGGAGAAGAGCTGCTGCAGTGTGCACACTAATGGACTGACATCAGGCTCAGGCAAGTATTTAGGGTGGCTGGGGGTACTGCACTTTAAAGGTTTTCTTACCTTAAAAGTGGAGTTCCAGACGTTTTTGTGTTTATTAAAGATCAGCAGCTACAAAAACTGTAGCTCCAGACTTTTAATAAACACACACTTACCTGTCCCAGAGTCCAGCGATGTTCTCACCCGCACAGTTCCTTCTCCCCTTCACGGTGCCTGTATCTCAACTGTGGACACCAAGTTGTTACAGCTTGTGGCTTCACAGCCTGGTGCCCACTGTGCATGTGTGAGTCGCGCTGCGCCTCCTAAATTGGACTGGCAGTCTCCTGGGACCTGTGAAGGTTTCCAGGAGACTCCGGGAGGGAGGAGGGGGCCAAACGTCCATCTCACTTTGCCACGGCGAACTGAGCCGGGAGTGGGAGCGGGTACCTGTCAAAAACAGGTATCCGCTCCCCCCCAAAAGGTGCCAAATAGGAGTAGAGGGGGGAGGGGAGGCAAATAAGCGGAACTTCCGCTTTTGAGTGGAACTCTGCTTTAATGCACAGAATGCATTAAGGTGAAAAATCTTTTACCTTTACAACCACTTTAAAGTGGATTATGCCTGAACAAGAAAAAGTCCCACACATATGGTATTCCCACACTCAGGAGGAGTAGCAGAATGTGTTTTTGTTTACTAAATACCTTGGAAAGTCTACTTTGCAAAAAAGGGGTCATTTGGGGGATATTTGTACTGTCCTGGCATGTTAGTGTCTCAAAAAATGAGATAGGCCTTAGTATATCAGTTGTGATCAGGTGTGAAGAATTTTCAATGATTGGTACCATAGCTTGTAGACTCTATAACTTTCACACAGACTAAATAATTTACACTGATTTGGGTTATTTTTACCAAAACAATGTAGCAGTATAAATTCTGGTCAAAATGTATGAAGAAAAGTTACTTATTTGCAAAATTTTATAACAAACCAAGAAAAATTTTTTTTTTTTAAATTTTTCTGGTATTGTTTTATTTATAGCGCAAAAAATAAAAAAAACCCAGTGGTGATTAAATGCTGCCAAAAGAAAGCTCTATTTGTGTGAACAAAAATGAAAAATTTTTTTAAAAAGGGTACAATGTTGCATGACTGAGTAATAGTCAAAGTGTGAGAGGGCTGAAAGCTGAAAATTGGCCTGGGGAGGAAGGGGGTGAAAGTTAAAAAGCATAAAAAAAAAAAAGGTGGGAAAGGACTAGTCTCTAGTATTGTTCACTAAGTGTTTGTGTGGAGGCAACCAACTTGGTAGAGATGGGACTTCTCTCTCCTGGAGGCATTGACATGAGGAGGCAAAATGGTGAACAGAAGAAAGTCTACTTTGCAAAAAGGGTTGAACAGAGGAGCATTTCAGAATTTCAGAAAAAAAGGCACTTTTTAGTGTACTGTTTAGGCACAATTAACATTTCTACACATTTCCGACAACATAGCAAATCTTAAATTTTTAAGTTCAATCCCATTTTAAAAGAAGAAGGTTATAAGAAAAACATGGAGGCTACCATTGGATAGTCATGATGACATTCAGAGTTTCTCAGTCACGGATAGATCAGCAATGCCAATTTTCTATAGCCAAAAACGGTTACAGTGTGCTCTTCCAGTTCTGGGAGGGCATCCATGGAAATCCTTCCAAAACCCTGCACCCCAGGGAGTGCTTTGGGCGTGCACTGAGTGCTGTGCTTTGGACACAGCTGATCACAGATCAGGGTAAAGGGCCAATCACAGCGGCTTTTTACCATGTGATCAGCTGCATCCATGCTGTGTTTGTATGAGGAAAGGAGAGCCGATAACTGACAAAGCTGTCAGTACATTGTTTACATTGATAATCAGGACACTCATTATCAGAGGCTTGATTAGTGCAGCCCCATCAGTGCCAATCCGTGCCCATTAGTGCAGCCTCCTCAGTGCCCATCAGAATTAGAAGAAGAAAAATTTTAGAAAAGGAACGAAGAAAAACAATTTTTTTTTTTTCAAAATGTTTGGTATTTCTTTCATTTGTTTAGCAAAAAATAAAAACCAAGTGGTGAAAAGTACCACAAAAAGAAAGCTCTGTCGGTCTAAAAAATTATACAAATTTCATATGGGCATAGTGTTGCATGACCATGCAATTGTCATTCAAAGTGTAACAACAGTGAAAGATGGTTGGCCTGGGCAGGAAGGGGGTGAACATGCCCAGTATTGAAGTGGTTAATGTAAACACAAGGTACAGGTAAGAAAAGAAAAAGGTTAAAACCCGAAAACTGGTTTCACACGCCTGGATATAAGAAAAAAGCCAATGTGTTATCCTTTGTGAGACAATAGATAGCAGTTAGACAGAAAAAAGATCCAACCCTGAACACTTTCGTATTTAAGGTCTAAAACAATGTTTGCAGAACACCTATGCATACGTTATATGGCCAAAAGTTTGTGGACACCTTATCACAGCTAAAATAAGTTTGTTGGAAATCCTATACCAAAATCATAGGCATTCATATGTCGTTGGCCTTCATTTGCAATTATTAACAGCCTCCACTGGGACAACTTTCCAAAAGACTTTACGGTTTGTGTTTTGGCTGAATTCAAATTCCCACAGAGCATTTACAAGGTCAAGTAATGGTTTTGGATAAGAAAACCTGGCCTGCAATCAGAATTCCAATTTATCCCAAAGGTGTTCAATAGTGTTGAGTTGAGAGTTCTGTACAGGCCACTGAAGGTCCCTCACACTGGACTCATAAAACCATATCTTTACAGAGCAGGCTTTGTGCACAAAAGGCACAGTCATGATGAAACAGAAGACAACCTTACTCAATTGTGAGCTTCCAACTATGGGGATGATTTACTAAAACTGGAGAGTGCAAATCTGTTGCAGCTCTGCATAGACACCAATCAGCTTCCAATTTTTTTATCAAAAGTTTAACTAAACAAGCTGAAGTTAGAAACGGATTGGCTACCTTGCAGATCTGCAGCAGATTTAGCACAGTCCAGTTTTAGTAAATCAACCCCTATGTGTCAACAGTCTAAAATGACTTAGCATTTCACTTTCATTGCAACAGTGTGCAAAGTATTATTAAAATGGCATGATTAACTGTATTAAACCTCTACTAGTATTGTTGAAATCTTTTTCTTACTTTGAAAAAGAGTGCATATCCTGAGCTCATCTAAGTAGCTGCACCTGCAGGTTCCATTATTTACAGATCTTCCAAATGGTCAGCATAGGGATGACATCCCAGCTTCCTGTAAATTGCTAAACTACACCCCATGGCTCCTTGTTTTACATGTAATATATGTTATGATATAATTACCTTCCCTTTTATTTACCCTACAGATGTAATGTCAGTGCAACAGCCCAATGAGCATTACCATCCCCTGATCTGTAGCCCACTTCAGTAAAGACCTCCTTTCAGCTGCTATTGCCCTACTGTACATAACAAGAGTATCAAGCTTAGCTCCCAGAGCTAGACGTCATAACTCACACTCTTCCAATCCATTTTTCACAGCCTGGGACCTCTGCTAACAATTACACTGTCAGAGCAAGCAATACTGAATTCTATGTAATGTGCAGCAGATAAGGTCCAGGCTCTGAGTAATTTAAGTTGAGCAGTGCAGGAAGTAACATATTCTGGAGCTCCAGTAGCTGACCTTGATATGGTTATGCATAGGAGGGCAATACAAATTAGAAGTGCAGTGCAGATATTGGGATGGTGATGCTTATTGGTCTGTTGTACTGATCTGGGGTGCAGGGTGCAGAACGTGTCAGGGGCGCTATGACAGCTGCAAGGTAAATAAATTAAACTGTACTGCACTAATTTTATGAGAGCTGCCTGAATGAAGGTGTGTCGTCAGCTCTACCTCCGTTTAGGCAGTTTGCATCAAATAGCACAATGTCACTGCCCCAGCAAGTAAACAGCAAGCAGAACTCCAATCCTGCACTTTAGCGGCACAATGCAGGGATGGGTTTATAGTGGCAGCTTCATGTGAGAGATGGGCAGGCTCTGAACAGTGCCAGATTTATGTCATCATGTACACTTGCAGTCCCTGCTACCAGTGCCTCTGAATGGGTGGCTACAAAGGGAGATACTGAAAAGGCAGAATGATTTGCAGCCACAGGCATAAAGAAAATGAATGCGGAGGAGGTTTTTCTGAAATTATTTTTGGCTATACACGGTAGTGTACGCATTTATACAAGAGACATGAGTTTACATCATCATTTACTTGTTCTAGCACTCTATAGTGATGAGAAGTGGGTGTCATCAGAAATTCTCGATATGTCCCATCTCTCAATTTCACCTCGGATCTGGTGCCCACCATTAATGTCTCTATGCAAGGTAAACACTGTACCAACCTTGTACAGTAATAAAAAAAAAAACCCAAGCCCTCAAGCAGCTGAGGAACTCTCTTTACTTACTAGTATAAAATGGCTTTTTAATTTAGTTTGTATAAGTACTGTCACGGTCACCCGATCACCACCCTCAACAACATGCGACAATCGCACGACCATGACCAACAATACGTCACGCCCGCGGCATCAGACCCCAGACCTTCTCACCAAACTCGTGACCGAAGGACTGGCCGATCTAAAACCGCGGTGTCACGCGCGTAACAATGCCACACTCAGCTGCGCCCTGCACAACGATTGTCCAGCTAATGGAATCCAATCGGTGCCTGCAGTCTGAATGCGCTTGTTACTGGGTCGGGTTAATTACACAACTAACCCCTTCACACTGCCACCACCTTCTTTTGTACAGAGAAAAAGGAAACTCTTTATCCAATATACACTGTAATGGTTGAAAAGTCGCCTGTCCAATACAGTCACTGCAGGCCGATTGGGCAGAGGATTAAACAAACAGTAGCGTCTCTTCAAAAAGGCAGGAATTCGTAAATTGCAATTAAGCGCTTTAGAAAAACAGTTTCACACTTTCAGAAAGGAAGCTTACTAAAAGAGTCAAACAGGTGCAATAAAATATTTACAAAGAAAATGTAACTAAGATATATATTTATATATAAAAATAGAAAACAGCCCAGCACAGCAAAGAGATAACAGGGAGAAGTTAAAAGGTTAAGTTACTTGCCATGTTAAGCCTTAAAGTAAGCAGATCCAAGTTGCAGAGCGGAAAGGGTCTTTGATCTCCTGCTGTTACGATGTTAAAATTAGGAGATGTGTTTAGCTTCACCCAGGATACAGCCTGTGTTTTTTAAAGTCCCCCAACAAGGGGGGTGGCTCTGAGTAACTGGCCAATACCTGTTTAGGGAGGGATGTCGGGCGGACTCTGAATTAAAACCAACATCTGTCATAATCCATGATATGAAACATAGGGGAAAACCAGATCTGTTAAAAATGTTATCTTGTTTGTGCTTCTGGGGAATGCCTTGAACTCTTGAGAAGGTTCTGCCATCCTTCCCCGAGGTGTGAATCACACAGGTCCCTTGGACAGAGAGTCTGCTGTCTGTGGGGGGGCTTTGTAGCGCTGGGCCCCTGCTGCTCCAGCCTGCCAGTGACTTTTAACACTTACACATCTGTCCCTGTGCCTCTCAGGAAGGGAGGGGGTAGGAAATAAAGGATTGAGGAATACTTCTAATAAAAAAGGGGAACTACGCGTCCAACTCTGATGAGCAAGTTTGCTACAAGTACTATCTAAGAAATACACAAAACACCAACAATTCTTGAAAAATAAAGGTGGCAAGATGCATTACAGAAAAAATCCTTTTTACCTTACTGTACAACTAACCATTTCTATTTATTTAGTCAAAGGAAAGGTCCAGCTCACCAAATATATCCTATAAGCATTAATTCGATTAATCTTTCCCCAACATGCTTGCGTATCATTCATCTCTGTTGTCCCAGACCCACAAGTCTCATTCCCAGAGAAGCTGCAGGACAAAAAAAGAAAAACAAAAAAAAACACTTTTTCATTTCTGGATTAAATTGAAACATTGCTTAAAACAAAAGTGATCAAAGCTGTGTTCATGTTAAATTTGAGTAAAATAAAGACAAGCTGTTCCTCTATGAGAAGCGTATAAAATACTTCTAATGAAGGATCAGTGTCGCGTGTAAATGTGATTCACACAACAAAAACCATTATAGATGCTTCAAACTGTTCTTGATCAGAGGTCATCAATCTACATTTTTAAATATTTTTACAATGTGTGCAATGTGAACAGACAGAATGTTTTGCCACACTAGCAGCTTTGTAACATGCACTACTCTTATCTTCTTATGATTTTTGAGCTGGATACAGAGGTGCTGCTATAGCTGGCTGCCAGAAGTTCACTTTTCAGTCACTGGTACTACATGGTCCGCAGCAGCCACAATAAATAATAATTGTTGCTGAAATCAGTGATTGTGTAGCTAAGCCCCAAAGGCTGGAAAAAACACTTATTTTTCCCCCACCATAAAATGGTTATACTGCTGATTTCAGGAGATTGGGACACAGGCAAACAAGCATTAAGTCATTCCCTGTATAACCCAACAGTTATGTCTTGGTTTTATAAGAAAGCAATACAAAGGGTTAAAAAACACAGAAATTGCAGTACCACTGCCCCTCGATGGACTTCAAAGGGGAAAAAAAAAAAAAAAAACGTTTATGGGAAGTACAAAAATCTTTTTTCCATCCATCGAGGGACACAGGACTGTAGTATATTCTTAGCCATTTACGATATCCAAATTCAGTCCAACTGAGTTGGTTACTGTGATATCTTGCTAACCAAAATATAGAAACTTTGATACGACCTCAAAGAGAAAATGGCACCAAAGATAAACCTAGTGCTTCAACGTGTCAGTAAGAGGAAACTGCTGAGCAGTGATGAGTCTCAGTAGTAATGTGAAGAATGACCAATCACCCACCATAAGGCCAACAGGTCAATCAAAACTTCCTGAACAGAAGGAGACAACTTGGACCAACAGCTAAGGCGGTCAACAGCAATGAATGCTTATAAGGGTAAAGGTCGAAACCTAAAAAAACTCAACCTTTGACTTCAGGGACGTTGAAACAAAGAAAGGCACGTCTTTATAGGAAAAAAAAAAAAAAAAAAAAAAAAAAGGGACGACGACCAGACTACAGTCAAGAACCGAAAACAGAAACCCCTAACTTACTTCAATGGAGAGAGTTTCGCAATAGGCAGGATGTAACTGATAAAAAAAGAAAATCTCAAAAGGAGATATATAAAATATGAGAAGAATTCTCTCAACAGGAAAAGAGAGGAAAAAGAATCTCCTAAGCAAGGGAAAAGAAAAAAGGTAGGAACCCTAAAATTTGAAAGGAGATAGTGAGGTGACAGACCCAATCTATATTAAAAAAAAAACAAAACGGGAATAAAAGGGTTGAAAATAACAAAAAACGCATCTGGTGTACAAGAACAACAGAACTAAACACATGAGTTGGAGACCTTTCAAATGAAACTTATAGGCAATTTGGTGGTGCAACGTCCACCAATTAAACTTACCTAACCAATTATGAATATATGATTGTAAGATTCATAAAACCTCAGGAATTAAGGGGTAGATATTGCAGAAGAAATATTAAGACACACAAGGTTGAAATCCCCCCAGTGATTTTCAGCTTGAGTGGGAAGTAGATCGTACTCATCTATGGAGGTACTACTATTAAAGCAGATCAAAATGGGGTTCTTGCAACCTATTCCAAGATCTCCTTTGCTGAAGCAGGCACACAGACTGAGCATCAGAGACAACAAGAATAGTACCAAGGGCAAAACCAAAGAGATGCCTACACTGCAATGGCCAGTAAATGAAACTTCCCTTAAATGTATCCTCTGATTGCACGAAACTCAATCGTCCTACACATCTGAACAGACATTATTCCCATGCAAGAGAAACCTTTAAACCTGGACTGCAGGGCTCCAGACATTTGATGCAAAAGTTTTAGGACATGAGGGTTTGTCCTAATGATGGAGGGGTCTCCCTTCAGAGATTTGATCCAAGACATGAAGTAATGGCCAATAGGTAAAGGATCATTACTCCACATAATGTAATCTGACACACAAGTAGGGAATTCAACTGATAGTCAATACATTTCCTAAAAGGGAAAAACAGCAATTAACCTGATTGGTTTGTTAACATGGATAACTGTAGCATTAACAGTGGGAGAGACCACTGATCAATAAAATATCTTCATAATATGGAGGAGGAAGTCATGATTCCACAGATATTTTCATGCTTCATAGAGGAATGTTTTGGATACTGAGTGTATTTAAGGTCCCTGTAGCCGTAGCTTCAAGACCCTATGCCAGAAACAGCAGGCTGATCTTTCATCTGCAGGGCAGAATGCGCTGCACCAGTTTATCAAGGTTCCCTTGTAAATCTGACTCATTCAGAATTAGCTGATAAAGAGCTCTTCTGGAGAAGGCTATTGGGAATCTGAATAAAAGATTGTAACAGGGCCTCAGGCACTCCAATAAAATAGAGGTCCATTATGTGCAGAAATAGATACTGCCACATATAGCACCTTAATGTGCTTAGAGCCATTGCAAACAGATTGCTGCATTCATTGAGCACAAAGCAATCAAAAATCCAAAGTGGATATTAAAAAGGTCTTGTGGACATATATGAAGTCTCAGCATCACGCTGCAGAGCAAAATAAGATTATGAAGAGAACAACCCTATAGTGATATCTAGGCTTTCTAGGGATACCAGCAAGCAATTGCCACTAACATCAATGGAGGAGTATGAGCTGCGGTCATCCATTGCACTGGGACTTTCCTCTTCCTGGAAGTAGGCATTAGAACGACACCAGAGAATAGTTGATCACACAAAGCACTAAAAGCAGGAGAAGCAGTGAGAAGTTGCTTTGTTTGGGCTGATTGGCAGGAAGAACACAGACACACACACCTAGAAAACAATGTCAGCGCTCAGTTCCCCCAACCTTATCCATTACTACTATAAAATGCATTGATGGCAAATTTAAAATGGTACCCATTGGTATCAACTGTGAGGTAGCTTCTGATGTTTTAGCCTGGCCAGCTCTGCTCACCTTTTGAAACCTTAGAGACTGGGTCACATGGGTGCTATGGCTCTGGACCTGAAGAGCACTCTGCAGCAGACACAGTACACAGAGGTCTGATAAGGGTTACAGTGCAGACCCCAGTGCTCAAAGGTCACTATCTAGGCTGACCCTGCAATTGGCCCATCCAACGATGTCCAGGATACAGCCTTCAAAGCTGTTTCTGAGGATACATCAATCCAAAAAAAACCTGAACGAGGCTCAAAATTGTACCGGACTCTTTTTTTAAATTGCGCTGCAGCCGGCCGCACAAAAAAGCTGCAGGTTCACATGTCATGCAATTCGGATGCAGTTCTAAATGTATCCAGTTTGCATATATGTCAACCAGGGCTGAAGAAAAAAAATTATAAAAAGACCAGTAAAAATATTGTTATAGCGTTTTCTCTGCAGAGCTGAGGAAAAGGTGCCCAACATTCTAGTTTACTAATTTATTACTTTACTACATTCCTGTTTTAGCCCTGGTTCACACTAATGCAAACGCAAGGCGTCCATGCGATCTGGTACAGGTGTCAATGTTAAATTAATGACACCCCAAAACAAATTGCAAAACGCAGAGCAATTACCAGAATTCGCATTGCATGCAATGCGAATCGGGTGTGGCAAAAGAAAAAAAAAAAATGTCCTGCACATATTTTTGGTGTGGATGCGATGCAATTTCAGCCATACAAAATGTATGGCTCAAATCGCACAGCATAGACATCACATGTGATTTGCACAGGAACGCGATGCGGTTCTTGTGTGAATCACATGCGATGTGCCGCACCACCTTAGTGTGAACCAGGGCTTAATCTCTTGCTTTTGAGGAGTTTTGCCAGTTGCTGGCAGTTACCCCTCATTAAGCTAGCGCTACACAGGAGATGTTAGCCAACTAAATAGAACAAATGGCTCCCTATGGTGAGATCTACACAAGTGTTATGCAGTAGTGCAGTCTGCAAGTGTTAGCATCTTGTAGTGATCACCTGCACCAGTTACTAAAAATCTCCTGTGTGGTTCTAGCATAATAAGGGAACTGACATTATGTGGTTAAAACAGAATTGCAATAGAATAAATCTCTTATGTAGCAGACACTTTAAAAAACGTAAATACATCTATTTAGGTTTCATTCACATGTTACTTGTGAGTCAAAGCATTTTTTTTTGTTTTGCTCAACAGGTAGAAATATAATCTCACCCATTCAATTTCTTCACCATGATAACGGTTTTCCAAAAAAAAAAATGTGAAAAAGAAAAGTAACAGGTCATGGAAATAAAACTTAAAGGCCTCACACACGTGCTCGCACAGTATGCAGAGCCTGTGTAATCGCATTCCTGGGTACTGCTGTCGAGTATGGCCAGCCATTAATATGAATTAGAAGATTGCAGCTCTGCGCAGTTATGCGCCAGGGGTTGCAGTTGCATGCGGTCAGAGAATACGCTCTTGAGCACGTGGGTGCTTTATACAATCCCCCCCTAACATAACAGCGTCAAACCGCATCTTCTAATTAGCCTCAGTGGGCGGCTGTATGCAACAGCTGTGGGTCCCAGAAAAGTGAATCCACAGGCTCTGCACACTGTATGGCCCCTGTACGGCTGTATGCATGAGACCTAAAAGCTTAGGTCATGTTTAGGGTGTAACATGCAACATGGTCATATTCTCCAACCCTCCACCTTCAAATTGCGCTTCTCTTCCTATTTACCTGAATCGAAGGGTGCTTCTCCATACAGCCTTCTGTCTCTTTAAATTTGACGTGGCTCCTTGGCTCCATCTATTCACATTTGCAGCAAAAGGATTTGTAGTCCTCAATGAAGCACAAATGTTGTGATATATCACTGCACTTGTAGTCCATTGTTTATTTCTTGCACAAGGCAGGAGCCTGTACATTGCACCCATGACTCACCGAGCATAGTTGCAATTTTCTGCAGGTCTTAGTGCAAAAAAATTAATAAATGCACATTTGTTTATTATATGATTTATGTAAGCGCATTTTGTTTTTTTATCAAAAGGCAGACTATGCTCTTAAGCTAACAGATGAGTCAAATACATTTCTATACCCCTTTCTGACTGCCTCTACTGCAATTATTCCCAACCCAGTATTACTCACCATGTGACCTGCACGAGTGACAGAGGTACAGCTGTTGCATATATCGCCAGGTCTCCATAAAGATATACAATAATGCACAAATAAAAGAGGTTTACGCCAACTGTAGAAAAAGTAGGAAAATGCCAAAAAATAATCTGTCTGATAAACAAGGGCATATTTCAGTTATAAAGCTTTATAAAAAAAAAAAAAAAAAAAAAACAACACACGACAATATTGAGTAGTTGTACTGCAACTCATTTTTTTTAGTTTTAGATTAATAAGGAATAATTTTTATGGCTGTCTCTCCAATAAACAGCAAAGAAAAAAAAGTCAGGTGTTTTAATCAGAAATATAACTATTTAAACAATATAAACAAATAATGACGCTTCAACCCCACTGGCACCAATGTTACACTACTTTTCCCACTGATACCAATGATAGGGTAATATTCCTCTCACTGACACCAACGATAGGGTACTGTTTCCCTCACTGACACCCAGCAATTCCTCCCACTGACACCCAGTGATGGCTCACTATATCTCCCCCAATATCAAAGATGGGGCATTGTTTACTCAAATTGGCATAGTTTGGTCCCTCTAAAGTCTGAAGGACAGTAAACTGGGCAATGATGATAAAATTTGGAGACCCCAGCAACAGACCAATGAATAAAAACTAATCCAAGATCATGCGCATACATGCCGTGGGTATCTGCCCATGGAACTGGCAGAAACCCGTGGCATGTCTGTGTAAGTGCCAGATTCCATTTAAAGATATTGGCATGGGAGCAAAGGGGAGCTAGAGGAACTGGGTGTGCAAGAAAACAACCCTAGACTACATGGACTACTATGTTTTATTTTTTTGTTTGTTTTTAATACAGGGACAAGTGTTACAGATTTGAAATTTCATTTCAGTACTGAACACTATATATTATAGTGCAGATGATATTATATTTTCCCATTGCAGTGCATATGAATATGTATTTCCACTGTCCCATGCTAGGAAACAAACCATATAAATAAAACATCATTTTTTTTTTTTATAGTAATCTAGCTCCACCTGCTGGAATAAAGAAAGGCCACCAAAAGAAAATTGATAATTAATTGAAAATCGAAATGACTGTATTGAAGTGGCAATGCATTATAAAACCTATGCAATGAAATACACAGAAGCTATTCGCATCAGAATTCATACCTTTATTAAAAAACATTGACGCCATCTGCCCCATTTCCACTCGCTCCACAATTGCAAAAGGGTCGGATAAACCACGGCGCTCTGAAAGATATTAACAAAGTGTCAGTCATATTTTTTAAAATATAAATAAAAATCCTGGAAAAAAAAAAAAAAAAGAAGAGAGAGAGAACTTATGGAAATTCTCCGAAGCTTTTTATACAAGACACAAATACTCACGCACAGAAGGATGGGTCGGACTTCTGAGCTGTCATACCCATCTGGAGGCAGAGATTCATTATCAGAATTTTCAGATGAATCCATTTCCTACAGAAGAGGACAAAAGTCTAATGTCAAACTAGCAGCATCAGGACAATACATAAATTAGGATCAGTCTACATAAAAGACGTTAATCAGCAGAATATGTTTTTATCCCACGGGAAAGCTTTACCAGGAGCTCAGCTACCTAAATAAATTTTCGGAGCTGTTCTACTAAAGCAGGATTTAAAGGGGATGTGTAGTAATCTTGTTCTATTTATCTATTATGGTCAAGACTAAAAAGAACATGCAAAAGTAAAAAATAATAAATTGTCTGGGAGATATAAAATATTACATAAAAACATATAAAAAGCCAAACCATTTTGTTTAGTGTTGGGCAGAGTAGGCATGGATTAGAACCCTTGTTTTCACTGTTGTCTGTGTCCCTGTTGGGTTTCTTAACCACTATCCTGCTGCCCTATAGCAGAAGTACTGCTACAGGGAGGCAGGGCTGCGCGCAAAATCAAGTATATATACATGATTTGCATTTCCGGGTAGGGGGCACGCGCACGTGCAGCCCTACCCGCGCTGCTATTGGCGGCTAAGGATGTCAATCATCGGGTCCCGGTAGGCACTCAGTGATCATTAGGGAAAGCTGATGAGACACCTGTGTGTAAACACAGGTCTCTCTCCTGTCAGCAAGGACATGCTGCTTTGTATGTCTCTGCACAGCACCCACCCAGTGTCAGAATGCCCGCCACAGTCCCACTATAAATCGCTGATTGCCGCCATTACTAGTATAAAAAAAAAAAAAGTAGAAATTCCAGTATATATAGCAACATTTGTAGATGCTATAACTTTCACATAAACCAATTAATTTAGACGTATTGGGATTTTTTTTTAGCAAAGACATATAGCAGAATTAATTGTGGCCTAAATTTATGAAGAAATTTGTTTTATAGCAAATGCAAATATTGCTTTTTTTTTTTCAAAATTGTCCGTGTTTTTTAAATTTTTTTAAACAAAAAAACACCGGAGGTGATCAAATGCCACCAAAAGAAATCTCTATTTGTGGGAAAATGACAAATTTAATTTATGTACAGCATTGCATGACTGCGCAATTGTCAGTTAAAGTAACACGGCGCTGTATTGCAAAAAATGGCCTGATCAGGAAGGGTGGAGTGTTAATTCCTCTGGAGGGCAAGTGGTTAAACTGGTCATACAGTTCTAGATGTTTGAACTAACATTTGTACAAATATAAGCTCTAAAATTCTCTTCAGTACGTTTGATGAAATGATAAATACCATTCAAAAGCACGTCCAAATTTTGTTTGTGCTTAAAAGTGATTGCAAAGTCTACAATTTTTTTTTTTTTTTAAATAACAAGCAGGTTTATATTTTCCTGTGGAATGGAATTGCACAGAGCAGCCCCAATCTCTTCTTCCCGGGTCCCCTGCTGGTGATCCTAGCTCCTCCTCAATTCTGTGTGCCACCATAGGAAGCCACTTCCTATGGTGGCACATCTGTGTGCTCCATTGACACACACAGCAATGCTCTGAATGCTCTGCCCAGCCCCTTGCTCCCTCGTCACAGGACTTGACTGACAGCAGGGGAAACCAATGGCTACCGCTACTTTCAGCCAAGGGAAGAAGAGGAGAGAGCCGCTCCAGACGAGCATTGCGCTGGATTAAGTAAGGGCTCAGGTGAGTATGGGGGGGGGGGGGGGTGAGGGAGTGATACTTTAACCTAAACATATTTTAGCTTAATGCAACATTTTTAGTCTTTACAACCGCTTTAACATTCGATATGGGAGAGAGTGCTCTTTCCTGAATGAATATCACATCTACTTTTAGCAAATTGTTCACTCGAGAACAACTTTCCATCCTGTTCCTTCGAATTTTCTCATCACTGTAAACATCAATTGGACCCAACTACTCAGAATATCAAGTGGTCTTAAAAATGTCAAATTAAAAAATTCTACTTAATACTACTTTATGGCCAGCTTTAAAATGTCTCCTTAAAGAAGGAAAGACTATCTACTAAATAAGCTTTAAATATTGCAAGCTTACGATAAAATTTGTCCTCCAGATCCAAGGTCTATACTTCACAAAAAAACTAAACATAACAGGGGAAAAAAAAAAAAAAAAACAAAAAAAATAAAACCACACCTCTAAATCTTGTCTACCCTCTGCCTTTACTAATGTTGAACACTGTAATAATAAGCAGTATAGATAACTTTTATTTTATGATCGCTTTGGTTCTAAGCAGCTGCTGCTGGTAGAAGGAGACTCCAATAGCTTCCAGAGCACTGGCATCAGTGGGGTGATATCTCTAGCTCTGAAAATTCTTTAACATTGTTGGCTCTTACTGCAGCCACCCAGGAGGAAAAAAAAAAAAAAAAAAAAAAAAAAGAAAAGAAGGAAAAGGATTTGAAGAAGAAATGCTATCTACTAAGTATGCAGTAAACATTGCTTGCTCACTCCCTATACTAATGCTGCACACTATTTAAAATAAGCAAATACCCTTATTACAAAGCTCAATAGCTCAAGCTAAAATGTACACACACAGCAGTGACTCCCTCTCATACATATTGGCATGAATTGGAGTTCTTTACCATCTGCTGTTGGTTAGATATAAACAAATGAAAAATTTACGCTCACACTAATTCGAGGAGTAGACTGAAGCCTCTGAACACCAAGAGGCTACTCACTGGTCTTAACCCAGTAAACACTACACCTAGTCTGCATGTGGGGCCACTTGCGAGAGTTCCATACCAAGCACAGATAACTCACCTCCTCCTTCTCCCATCTCTTCCAACGCAGTCGAGCATTAGCTGCAGCCATGGCTTCTATAACAAAATGTTGTGGTCATATAACTAGAGATTTAAAAAAAAATGCAAAGCGCTGAAACAATTTGCATACAAGATACATGTTAAATAAAACAATTGCAGATGTTTTAATGTTTTAATTCAAGTTCTTAGTCACTTACAAAACAAACCTAAAGTGATTGTATATGCTCAATTTTTTAAATTAAAAAAAAACATGGTATACTTGCCTGCTCTGTACAATAGTTTTGCAAAGCAGACCCGATCCTATGCCAACGCTCCTGGTTTTTCCCCCACAGCAAGATTTTTGCTATGGGAGGCACTAGTGCAGGTGGAGCTCAACTTTGTGTGTCCATTGACACACAAAGCACAGCTCAGCCCCTGCCTCCTGCTCCCTCCTCATTGGCTGTGATTGATAGCAGCAGGAGTCAGCGCTGGATCAAGATCGGGCTCAGGTATGTGGGGGGGTTTGGGGGAGTTCTCAAATTAAAAGTTAGCAGCTACAAAAACTGTAGCTGCTGACTTTTAATAAATAGGACACTCACCTGCCTCAGCATCCAGCGATGTCCTCACCCGGTTGGTTTTTTCACTGAGCTTCAGTCCCTGGAGCCGGCACACTAACTGAGGGCAGCCGGCAGTAACTGTCAGCAGCTGCTCACTGCGCAAATGAGAGCCACGCTGCGCTATTTGACTGGTCCTGCAGCTTTCTGAGACCTGTGGCATGTCCAAGAAGGCTGCAATGGAAAGGGGGGGCACATTCCACTCAGTTTGTTGCAGCGATCCAACCGGAAGTGCGGGTGTGGTGGGTGGCGGTCAAAGCTAGGTACCCTCCCCCCAAAAAAAAAAAAATTATGTCCCAAATGTTGAGGAGAGGAAGGGAGGAGGAAGAGAACTTCCCTTTTTGGGTAAAAATGTATGCTTTAAAAGCTAAAATAAACTTTCTACCTTTAGGACCACTTTAATATGCCCAATGAACCAGAACATTTTTCTTGTTTAAGAGGTGTCAGTTTTGTGACAAATACTGCTAGGTGAACCCTTAAAATTTTATGTCATCTTATATACTTGCAGCTTCGTTACTTCAGTTGATTGGGGATTTGCGTGGTTTGATCTTACATACACTTGTGACAAATAATGCTTTGGCCTTCTTCAGAAGTCTGATCTGCAGTCTGTGTCTGGGATCTCTCTGGATACAATGACATCATGCTTTCTTTCCAGATTCATTTAGAATTGATTTTCAAAACTGCTATCAAGGAGTTGCCTTGCTATCAAGGATGCTACTGTTTTCACAACTGCTATCAAGGATGTGACATGAGATTTTAGATGATCCCTAAAAACCTCTCTGTTTAAAAAAGCCTATCCTGCTTCTAACTAATAAACTGCCTTTATTTCCTCCATCAGCCCATACCCCACAGCTATTACCTTTTGTATCACTCAACCCTTCCTCTTAGATTGTAGGCTCTAACGAGCCAGGCTCTCTGTTTCCTCTACCAAATTGTATTGTAACTGTAATGTCTACCTTCATTTTGTAAAGCACTGTGCAAACTGCTAGACTATATAAATCCTGTATAATAATAATAATAATAATAATAATAATGAGAGAGGGAGCAATAATAGCAAAGAGTTACTTTAAGATTATGTTTCCATATTTTTGTTAAAGATACAGAATATGCCTTTTCCATTTTCAGGAATGGCAATATTAAATCAGTATGTACATTTGGTATAAAAAATAATCACCCCCTCCTTTAAAATAATCACGTTGTTGCTTTGCAGGCTGAAATGAAGACAGATACAGTTTTTGTTTTATCCAGCTGTATTTACTCAATGCTACTTATAACATCCAAGTAAAAGAAATAACACCAACATGTCAGAAAAAACTTCAAAAATAGAACCACCGAGTTGGAAAAAAGATCACCCCCTTGTGTCAGTATTTTGTTGAACCATATTTTGCTTTAAATTTCAGCCTTTAGTCTGTTGGGATTTGTCACTACTAATTTTGCACATCTAGACTTTGCAATATTTGTCCACTCTTTTTTGCACAACTGCTCAAGTTCAGTTACATTTAATGGTGACCGTTTGTGGACTGCAGTCTTCAAGGCATTCCACAGATTTTCAAGGGGGTAAGTCTGGGCTCTGACTAGGCCATGCAAGGACATTCACCTTTTTTTCTCCTTCAACCACTGTGTGCTCATTTTTGCTGTGTGCTTGGGTCACGGTCATGTTGGAAGGTAAACATTTTTCCCATTGACAACTTTGTGGCAAACGGCAGCAGATTTTCACAGTATTTTCCTTCTATCCTGACAAATGCTCCAGGTCCCTGCTGCAGAGAAACCCCCCCATAACAAGATATTACCACCTCCATGCTTCACTGTAGGAATGGTGTTATTTGGATGGTGAGCTGTATTGGATTTCTGCCAGACATCGTTTAGTGTTAAGGCCAAATAATTCAAATTTAAGCCTCATCTGAACATAACACAGTTTTCCGTGTGGCCTCGGAACATTCAAGGTGTGTTTTGGCAAAGCTCAGTCATTACTGCATGTGGCCTTTCTTGAGGGAGTGGCTTTTTTCTTGCAACCTTCCCATACAAGGAACATTTGTGGAGAATGAGATATTGTCACATGCACACAGGGACCATGCTTTGTCAAAATTCTTGCAACTACTGCAGAGTTGCTGTAGGCCTCTTGGTAGCCTTTCTGGCCAGTTTCCTGGTTCTTTCATCCAGTTTAGACCAATGTCCTGATCCAGGGAGGGTCTGTGTTGTACCAAATACCTTCCAATTCTTACTAATAGACTTCACTGTGCTTCAACTTTTTCCCACAGATCTTTTGGGTAGTGTCTTACCACCCATAGTTGGTTGTTCACTTCAGTTGCACTATCAGGGACTGAAATGCTCCAGGAAAGCTATTTTCATTCTGAGCTAATCAAAATGACCACAGCTGATCACAGTTGAAAGTCATATGGCTTTGTGCACCTTTGATTCGGTGATTAGCTACACCTGCTTAAGTTTACAAGTCATTTTGAGAGTTTTTTTAACCGATTCTGTTTTTGATTTTTTTTTCTGACATGTTAGGTGTTATATCTTTCACTTGGATGTTATAGGTTGCACTAAGTAAATACAGCTGGATAAAACAAAAAAAAACGTGTGTCTTCATTTCAGGCTGCAAAGCAACAAAATGTGAATATTTTAAAAAAGGGGGATGATTCTTTTCTATATCCACTGTATGTACATTAAAGAATAAGAGAACTCATCCTTTTGTTCCACTTTCTTAAACAAACCTAGAGCACCCCCCCCCCCACCACCACCACAATGCACACTTAGCCCTGTCCATGGCTATTAAAAAGACTATGGGGTGCTACTGTGTGCAGGACACTGAAGTGCATAGCTATATATATATATATATATATATATATATATATATATATATATATATATATATATATATATATATATATATATATATATATATATATATATATATATATAAATAAATAAAACACGAGGCCAAGGCCATCAGAATGAGGAAAGTATGATGCATCTGTGGAGGTTGTTAACACAAACCTTCAGTCTTTTAAATCTTTCCTTCGATTAAATCTTCTGCCCTCTTATTTTAACTACAGATGCTGAGAAAGATTTCAACCGTGTAGATTGGTCTTACTTTTGGGCAGTACTGGAGACTTTGGGCTTGAGACCACGCATGCTACAGTGGATCATGGCTCTGTACATGGATTTCTAGTGCTCAGATTAGGGTTAACTGCCTAACCTGATGCAGGAACTTCAGGTTTTTGGTAAGATATCCAATTTCAAGATAAATTAAGCCAGGCAATGGTGCATGAAATGAAAATTCTGGTGCTGAAACCGATACCGAATGTTCAGAATGCACGTGGCCGAAAACCGAAACGAAAATGTCTGCGTATGTGGGGGTGGGGAGGCTCCAATTTTTTTTGGTATTTTTGTTTACTTTAGCATATAAGTGACAGGTCCCTTTTGTAGGGGGGGGCAGCAGAGGAGCAGTGTGTGCAAGGAGGGGGCAGGAGAGGAGCAATGTATTACAGTGAGGGAGCGATGTATACAGAGAGGCTCCCTCACTGGCTGTCATTATATGTCAGTGCCAGTTTTTAAATGTAATTACAGGCTTTTTTCCTTTACTATAGCTCAGAGAATGAGCTATCATTTTCCCCAAAGCTAAAGGAAACAAAAGGGGCAAGATCACTGGGTAATGTCACTGGATGACCCCGCCCCATTATTTTCTTTAGCCCTCTGAAAATGACAGCTCATTCTCGGAGCTAAAGGAAAAGGAAAAAAAAGCCAGTAATTACATTTAAAAAACAGCATTGTTTTTAAAATGCAATTGCTGGCTTTTTTTTTTTTCTTCACTATAGCTCAGAGAAAGAGCTGTCATTCTTGGAGGGCTAAAGAAAACAAACGGGCGGGGACACCCAGTGACATTACCCAGTGACCCCGCCCCTTTGTTGCCTTTAGCTTTGGGAAAGTGACAGCTCATTCTATGAGCTATAGTAAAGGGGAAAAAAAAAAAAAAAAAAAAAAACAATCGGGTAATTGCATTTAAAAACCAGAACTGACATATAGGCAGCCAGTCACTGTATACACTGCTGCTCTCCTACCTTTCTATAACCCCCCCCCCCCCCATCTGCAGTACACACTGTCCCCCGTATCGGCTAGATTTTTTTCGATATGTTTCTGTGCCCGGAATTTTGGTGCATCCCTAATACCAAGTCTGAAGTTCTACCTATTTTTATTTTTTTTTTTCTGCAAACGTGCAACTATAACCGTTCCTTGTGTCCAGCCGAAGCCGGACACCCCAGTACTTGGTCAGGGGGCTCTCCCGAAGAGAAAACCCCCTAGGGATCAGGGGAGGAAGGAACCAAAAGACCACACATCCTCCCCCTAGACTTCAGGGCAGGCCTGAGGACCCACACCCTCCATTATGTGAAAACACACTCTTAAGTAAGAAAAAGTGACAAAACGTGGGAGTGAAATAAATTAAATAAATAGAAAATAAAAAAGTGGCCGTGCCAAATTGTGCACAGACCAGGCCCTGAGGCCTGTAGCAAAAATTGCCCTGGTCCTAGCCAAAAGGCCTGGTCCTAAGGGCGCTTGTGCAAAAAGAGTGAAAACACAGTGACCTTGTGCCATCTTCACACTGTGGGGTCCCACACCCAGGTGTTACTAGTGGCACCCCTGAGGGCGTCTACTCAGGGGGCACTGGTTTGCGGACTTTCTGCCTTCCCGACCCCTGGCCAGACAAGGTAGATCCATCCAAATCAGGAGGTACTGGGTCCTTCCGGTCTCCTCGGGGGAATTACTCCCAGGCCCCAGCTACGTGTGGGCATCCCGGGTTCTGTCCCCCCGGTACTAGCCTTCCAGACCCCCATCATACCAGCAGGGGTACTATACAACAGCCATCCCCGCAAAGCTACAATGGCCGGGAGCACCCCCACTGGACACTGATAAGAACAGATACTACACTTGATCTTAGCCAAAAGGCCGAGAAGTCTGAAGTTCTACCTATTACTTTACCCAAGACGCTTGCCTTTACTTTACGCGTGGCCTTCCCTTTCACCCAAGCCAAGTCCCCTCCTGAAGTACTTGGGGGTCCAGCTTACTGATCGCTTTGAGACGCTATACTCTAACAATTCTCCTACTCTATTAAATGTTGTGCGTAAAGGCTTGAAGACCTGAACGAAAGCAGCCTTCACTTGGGTGGGTTGAGTTAATATTATTAAAATAAATGTTCTTCCTAGAGTACTTTTTTTATGCAAATGCTGCCAGTGCCCTAACCTAAAAACTTCTTTGTGCAGATCCAAAGTATGCTCATTGGCTTTGTGTAAAATGGGCTGAAACCACGACTAGCAATGACAGTGCTACAATGGTCTAAAAAGTTGGGGGGTTTGGGACTGACATTCGGAGGGATTACAGGGCTATTGCCCTCCAGAGGATCTTGAACTGGCGCTTTCATGCCCACACAAACTATGGGTCTCCTTGAAGAAATGTATGGCGTAACGTAATTTATCTTACGCCCCATGATTGGCCTGTGAGTACACAGGACTGTCAGAGACCAGGTCTCCATTGACAACCCATGCCTTGCGTGTTTGGAACTGAGTTAACCAACTGGTCCCCTCTGTATCCCCACTGGCTCCATTGGGAGGTTTCCTGTGGTTCCCCCCAGGGGAATGCATGGCCTTTCTTGGATCATGGGCTATAGGAGGGTAACCCTAGCTGTGGTAAGTTCTTGGAGGGCAGAAGGTTACTCCCACTCGAGACCCTTAGAGATCATTTTGGAAGCTTTACCATGGATTTCTTGCTCTACAAGCAGCTACACTACTTTGCTATTCATGGCCGCTCTATCAGGGCAGTGTCTAACCTCACCCCATTTAAGCATTTTTTTTAATAACAAAAGGAGCCCTTACCCCCATCTGGTATCGGAATTCTATAAATTGCTAAACTCGGTTCATGTTACTGTGACACTTGCTTTTGTCGGAGAGTGGGAACATGACCTTGGGGTGAAGTTTCCAACAGAACAACATGCACTCTTTAATCAACCGACACATTCCGGTTCCATGGACTCCAAGACTCAGGAAAATAATTAAAAGCAGCTGACACGCCGTTATCGTGTGCCTACAGTCTTGTTAGGTTTTTACCCTTCAATCTCAGATCTTTGTTGGAGAGACTGTGGCAAACATGGCACAGCCCTACACCTGTGGTGGGAGTGTCCCTCGATTTGCTCCTTCTGGACTGATATTAAAGCCCAGAAGATTCTGTTGTCTCCGGTTCATTCCTGCTCCACGCCCCTACACTTTTAGCGGATATAAGTTATGCTCCTTACCGCACCTTGTTAAATGCGGCCAAGAGAGGAATACCTATATATTAGAAACGGGCTCATGTCCCCAGCACGAAGAACTGGATTAGAAAAGTGAATGAGATCATGGAAGCCAAGGACTGGGTGGCAATGTGCATGAGCAAGCTAAAGCGTTTCACAGATATCTAGGCCAGTGTTTTTCAACCTTTTTTGTGCAAAGGCACACTTTTTTCATGAAAAAAATCACGAGGCACACCACCATTAGAAAATGTTAAAAAAATTTACCTCTGTGCCTATATTGACTATATATAAAGTAATTCTCTTGAATAGGAATCAAACACAAAGAAATTATTTTATAAATTACTTTATTATGAAATAATAAAGTATTTTATAATTGGACCCGGGGGCCAGACCCAAGAGTAGATGAATGATGTGTATGTGTCATCCATAGTAAGTATAGTAATATTCCCCCATAGTAAGCATAGTAATTAATCCCCCATATAGTAATTCATCCCCCATAGTAATTCATCCCCCATATAGTAATTCATCCCCCATATAGTAATTCATCCCCCATATAGCAATTCATCCCCCATATAGCAATTCATCCCCCATATAGTAATTCATCCCCCATATAGTAATTCATCCCCCATATAGTAATTCATCCCCCATAGTAATTCATCCCCCATAGTAATTCATCCCCATATTAAGTCCCCAAGCCCCCCGTGTCAATTCACTTACCTTTGCTCCGCGCGTTCCTCTCGCCGTTCCGGTGTAGCATGAAAATCTGTCTCCTATGAGGATCTGTCCCCCTCGACGTATCTGCGCATGTGCCAGTTTCAGGCATTAGCAGCCGATCGGCGATCTCCGGCACGTGCGCAGATACGTCGAGGGGGACAGATCATCCTGACAGTATCACGCTCCGCGGGCCGGATTAAAAGGTCCGCCGGGCCGTATACGGCCCGCGGGCCGTAGTTTGCCCATTGCTGTTCTAATGATTGGTCTATTTGTGAGCCGAGGCCACATGTTACGGATGAAATTGCAATTTTTCCCACGGCTCACCAGACAATATCTCACGGCACACTAGTGTGCCGCGGCACAGTGGTTGAAAAACGCTGATCTAGGCAACAAGGCAAAATCACACATCTGACTTTGACCAGGTCCTGTCTAGCTTGGATGTTGCTTTGTTGCAGAGTAGAGCCCTCACTAATTTGTCTAGCCATTGCCTGGTTCTGGTGTCCTTTTTCTTTTTTACTTGTAGCAGCCTTGGTGTCAATACTCTTTTTCTACAGCAGTAGAGATTAGTGTGAGCTACTATGGTCCTGGTATTTTATATGTGGCTGTCTGAATGTTAATGAGCTATGTTCCCCCCGTTTTTGTTTTTCCCCCATTTCCTTAGCACTTTATCCAATCTTAGGGTCTACAGTTTTGGTGTCTTATGCTCCTACAATGCTGCAGTGTCCCTCGTAATTCCATTTTCCAGTAGATGGCCCCCTTATTATTTTAGTGCTAGTTGCTTGGGTACACTAATACACTGTATTTTGTGACACCTTGACTGTATGATGACTTTATGAGGTGAATGGCATTGCCTTGCTGCTGATGCTGCCAGAGAAGGGAGACTGAAAGAATAAAGGAAGGCTGCGGCAAGTCACAGGAGAGCCAAGATAGGCTGCAGCGCTGAAGGGGACCAGATGAGGGTGGAGACATGAGGAGACTGCAGGGATCCCTGTGTATTCATCCAGAGAGAAAGAGCTGTTTTTACTGTGCATGCGCAACCTGGAGACCTTTTACCACAAATACATAATAATTTACCAGCCCAGAGATATGGAGCCATCTGGACTATTCCCAGAATAATGCAGGCAGGGCTTCATTTTCCCACGGTACACATGGCTGCTCACACATACAGCAAGGCAATTTTTACACAGAAAAAGTAAGCTTTATAAACACAATTAATAATGTTTAAACTGCATATTGTTGTATTTTTATTTTTTTTTTTTTTACAAAGAGTGCTTGACTTCAGTTCCTCAAAGTCAGAGATGGGAGGGGAAAAAAAATTACACTTTGCTTTTAAGTGCACCTATCCTTTTACCTGTATACAATGCTACAGACATAAAAAAAGGACCCATGAACCACATGTGCCCCAATATTTGCAACAATATGTTAAAATTCATAAGAGTAGAGGTCTTATTTCATTATCTGTACTGTTTTTTGTCAGTTTATAGGAGGTTATTCCTTTTTAAAATGTTCATATAAATTTTTGTTCACTTACCTCATAAATGCCAAGAAAATGATAAGGATGAGGCTCACCAACCAGCCCGCGTTGGCAAAGGCCTTTGGCATAGTAAGTGCACCTGTGCCCACAATTAAATTGAACATGTACACAAGCCCAACCTTTAGGGGAAAAAGAAATACATGTATATTAAAAATGTAATCCGATCCAATAAACTAAACAATGTCCCACCTTAGAGCGAGCAGCACAAGGTTAGCCATTAAATACTCTTTAGTGAACATAGGCGATCCTGGTTTCATGTTGTTAAACTTCTATGATTTTAGGGGAAGTCCCACTTACCCCTGTCCAATGAAAGCACACTTATAGATTAAGTATCTTGCACTCTCATCAGAACAATGGCAGGTGAGCAAGGTGTACTGCAAACATATTCAAACTGATAACTTTAGCAGAGTGGATATGGAACACATCTTTTAACTTTTCCACTTGTGGCCTATGATTAACATGGTCGCCATGATTAAGCCCTCTGTGGGGTGAAAAGTGTTGGAGCGAGAGGTGGATAGGTGAGACTATATGTCATGAATCCTCCATTTATTATAATAAAGTGGAACTATACTCACCTTGCATCCAGTGATGCGGTGTTCCCAATCTCCCTGCCCGACCGCTGAAATTTTCAAGCAACCAACTTCCGGGTTTCAATTGCTGGCTGCTTTCATTGGCTGGGCAGGGATGATGTCACCCTGGCACATGCGTGGGCGTTAGGACAAATTCAGCATTGCCAAATTCCTACAGTGAGCTGCGTGTGCACTGCTCACTGTACAGGGCGGATAGAGTGGTAGGAAATGAATGCCCTTTTTTCATTTTAGCTCCACTATACAGTTGGTTTTATATTGTTGATGGCATCAGTGTTTTATCTGTTTATTTCTACTTAACAAGCGGAAAAGCTGAGCGGAGATGCACTCCTGGGTATGTGAGCAACATAGGTAATATTGCTATACCTGTTTACCATTGAAAGTGAAAAGTATAAGAAAATTCAAAATTTGGGATTTTCTCCAAAAGCAGAAATAGATTGGAAATCTTCCAAAACAGTATAGTTAACCCTTTGATCGCCCCTCCTGTTAACCCCTTCCTGCCCAGTGCCTTTTGAACAGTGTCAGTGCTTTTTTTTTTTTTTTATTAGCACTGATCACTGTATTGGTGTCACCGGGGATATCAATGACACCAAGTCAGTTCCCCCCAGTGTCAGAATGCCCGCAGCAGTCCTGCAATAAGTCATTGATCGCCGCCATTACTAGCAAAAAAAAAAAAAAAAAAAAAAAAAAAAACAGTATATATACCGCCACTTGTAAACACTATAACTTTCACATAAACCAATTAATTTATACGTATTGGGATTTTTTTTTTAGCACAGACATTAAATTTTTTTTACTGGACATGTATAGAAGCAAAACCTTGTGAGAAAAAAATGAGATCTGCTAAATACTCACCAGGCTTCTTATCAAATTCCTTGGCTTGTCTACTTTCCAAAAAGGGGTCATTTGGGGGGGTTAGGTGCTATTCTGGCATTTCAGGGCCTCCGAAACTGTGATAGGTAGTCAGGAAAGTGTAATGAGGAAATAAAGCCCTTTAAAAGCCTGAAGGTGCTTACTGGATTTTGGGGTCCTGTACTTGGCTAGACTGCCAAAAAGTCTCTCACATGTGGTATCCTCATACTCGGGAGATGTAGCAGAATGTATTTTGGGGAGTAATTCCACATATATCCATGGCATGTGTGAGCAATAAATCATTTAAGTGACAATTTTGTATAAAAAAAAATATTTTTTTTGTCATTTTCCAAAAACTTGTGATAAAAAAAAATAAATTCTTCTATGGACTCAATATGCCTCTCAGCAAATAGTTTGGGGCATCTACTTTCCAAAAAGGAGTCGTTTTGGGGGGGTAAGCCCAAGCTGACAGGAAGGTGGGCTGTAGGTAAACAAAGCAGCTCTCAACCCAGTGGGTGATTGCCAGATATAACCGGGCGCCAACTGGTAATCACTGGGTGGGACTGCAAAATCAAAATTACGTATATATATACACACGTGATTTTGCGCACCCATGCCGCCCTGTAGCAGTATTTCTGCTATAGGGAGGTCGGGAAGCGGTTAAATAAACTTCCTTCTCCTGCCCAGGACTACATGTACAACTGCTCCTCACACATTCACAAGTCCTCAAGCGCTTCAGGGGTGTGGAAAATTTTGAAAAAAAACTACTTGTCCAAGAGACTAACTCAAGGTCCCAATCTACGTGTCTCCCGTGACAATCTACTTGTCCTGATCAAAAAAAAAAAAAAATTCCCAGGACAGAAAAAAATTAAGGGTTGATGGTTTTTTTTTTTTTTTTTTTTTTTTTTTTAGGCAGAGGTGAATATCTGGGGATTTTAAAAACAAAAGGGGCTTTATGACGACTTAAACTTTTAATGTAATTTATTTTTTGCTAGAGGCCCTAGACTAGAGACTTAAACAACACAATACATAACCTAATTTTTTGTGAACATATAAAAGATGACGTTAAAGTAAAATGGATACCAAACATTGCACACTTTAAAATTGCACACTCCCATGCAACGAAAACAGGTGGTGTAAATTTTACTATCCATAGGTGATGCTTTAAAAGCCTTTACTGGCTACCTTTTTAGATCTACACATGTTCTTGGTACTAGAATTACTGCCCATGATCTGATATTCACGGCGATACCTCACATGTGTGGGCCGATCGCTGTTTGCGTGGGTGGACGCATGCGTTCGCCTTTGCGCACGTCCACATTTTTTTTATTTATTTATATATTGTACACTGTCGCTTTAATGGGGTTTTTTTTCACTTTTAATGCTGTCACAAGGAATGTAGATAGATAGATCTGGGGGATAAAACATATCAAGAGTGACTTCAGTCTGGAGGAAAGAAGGGAAAGGGGAGACATGGTGAGAAACCTTTAAAATACATCAAGGCGGTGAATAAGGTTCAGGAGGGCAGTATTTTCAACATGAAACCAAAATCAAGAACACGGGAACATGACCTGAAACTAACTGGAGGAAAAGTTCAAAACTAATCTCAGAAAGTACTGAGAAAGAAAGAAATTTTACTGAAACAGTAGTTGATGCTTGGAATCAACTTCCAGCAGAGGAAGTGAGCCACTCAACAATAGCTTCAGACATGCTTGGGACAAGCACAGGCAGAATTGATGGACCACTTGGTCCTTTTCTGTTGTCATATACACACACACACACACACACACACACACACACACACACACACACACACACAATATAAATATTCTGCAGATAACAGTAATCAGATAATAACCACAAATAATTATTTTATTTAAAAAAAAAAAAAAAAAACACCACCACGCATGCATGCACGCACACCCCCCAGTCCCAGATCCCGCTGCCCATTGGTGGAGAGCGCTGCCAGTCACATAGGTGCCCTTCACATGGCCACCCAGCCCCGATTATGTTCTTCTCAGGAGCTGCTGGAGACAGAGAACACCTGGCTCTGACTGGTGGCGCTCTCTGCCAATGGGCAGTGAGGGGTGAGGCGGGACAGGACCTGAGCATGCCCCATTAAGCAGGGGGAGATGACACACTCATCCGGGGCAGCCTGTGGAAGGCAGTTATGTCTCCTCCCACTGCTTGTAAAAGCGATCCAGTGGCTAGTTAGCTGCTCGGATCACTTTTACAAGAGAGCCGACCATCAGCTCTATACCCTGGTACTTGCTAAATGTGAGGAAAAAAAACAAAAAAACAAAACCTTCTTGCCCGTTGCCCGAAACTGCATGTCCCAGGTATCTGGCGATAGGAATTGATCATCCCTGCACTTGCTGACATCTATGGACAGTGTACTGAATTATATTTGTGCTGCGCTGTATGTAAACATATAATGCATCCTGTATGCAGGCCAGCTAATCGGCTGAACAACTAGTTGATGATGAAAATAGTGGACAACTATTATTATAATCAATTATGTTGATTAGTTGTTTCAGTCCTACGTGTGGCAATGTGATAAAACTGAGGTTCCGGGGGAGAACTGAACTCCTTCAGAGCTAGTACATGTGGAGGGAAATCCATAGCAGATTACAAGTCACTCACCAATTGGTAAGGTGGGGGTGTTAGATTTCATCTGTTCATGCCCATAGACAAGATAATGTGCTTAGTTACAAGAATAACAATTGCATAATACGTGTACTATCTGGAAGTGGTTGGGCAAGGACTATGATGTGAATGGAGGGTATAGGTCCCTCAGTCTGTATTGCTTGTTGTCACAAGACAGTGCACATTTCCGGATCAAAGCGGCTACAAAAAAATGTGGAAGAAAGCCTGATGGTCTTTAACTAGCAGATAGTTCATCACATGGGTATCTGCAGACAACGCAAAGTGAAGGTTAAATTTAAGTCAAAATATGCAGTCTAAGGGATTACAACACAACAGGAACAAGACAAGTCCTGCTTTGGTTTGCATTTTACAAACTGTGTGAACATGTGTGGGGAAAAAAAAAAGTGCTTCTGTAATGAACTCAATGGTCTCAATGCTGGAATTATCCAGGTCTTGACAAATCAGTTCACATGGTACAAGCATTTATGCTACTGGTGTCTCTATAGCACCATACTGGGATTTGCTAAAAGTGAATACATTCTAAATGAAAAATTACAAATCAACAGCAAAATATATCAAGGCTTTAAATCTGATCACCATTTTTACCCACCTAAAAACATGAATTCCATTTTAGGCTGGAGAATTAAAGTGGTTTTAAAGGCTGAAGGTATTTTACCTTCACGCATTCTATGCAGAAATGTAAAAAACTTTCAGTGTGCAACTTCCTCCTTAGCCCCCCCTAATACTTACCTGAGCCCCATCTTAGTCCAGGAGAGCAGAGTCTCTCCCTCCTTATTGGCTGAGACACAGCAGCAGGAGCCAATGGTCAGTGAGGAGGGAGCAGAGGGCGGAGCCAATCCATGCACTGAGCGTCTTATGGACACAGGCAGCTCAGGAACGAGCACGCACGAGTGCCCCTACAGCAAGCAGCTTGCTTTGGTGCACTCAGCAGGGGGAATAAGTAATGACTAAGCACGTGTTCATGTGAAACGCATCTACTGCTCCTCTGTCCTGTCTTGGAGCTGTCATATTCA